ATAATGTGTTTAAATAAAGAGCTGTTTAAACCTGCTTCACGCAGCAGTAGGGGGCAGCCCTCTCCCAGCTGCCCTGCCCCCTAATTAGCAGCCCTCTCCCAGCTGCCCCCCCCTCCCCCCCAGCTGCCCCCCCCTCCCCCAGCTGCCCCCCCCTCCCCCATGCTGCCCCCCCCCTCCCCCAGCTGCCCCCCCTCCCCCAGCTGCCCCCCCTCCCCCAGCTGCCCCCCCCAGCTGCCCCCCCCAGCTGCCCCCCCCTCCCCCAGCTGCCCCCCCCCAGCTGCCCCCCCTCCCCCAGCTGCCCTCCCCCAGCTGCCCCCCCCCAGCTGCCCCCCCTCCCCCAGCTGCCCTCCCCCAGCTGCCCCCCCTCCCCCAGCTGCCCCCCCTCCCCCCCCTGCCCCCCCCTCCCCCAGCTGCCCCCCCTCCCCCAGCTGCCCCCCCCTCCCCCAGCTGCCCTCCCCCAGCTGCCCCCCCCCTCCCCCAGCTGCCCCCCCCTCCCCCAGCTGCCCCCCCCCTCCCCCAGCTGCCCCCCCCCCTCCCCCAGCTGCCCTCCCCCAGCTGCCCCCCCCTCCCCCAGCTGCCCCCCCCTCCCCCAGGTGCCCCCCCCCTCCCCCAGCTGCCCTCCCCCAGCTGCCCCCCCCTCCCCAGCTGCCCCCCCCCCTCCCCCAGCTGCCCCCCCCCTCCCCCAGCTGCCCCCCCCTCCCCCAGCTGCCCCCACCTCCCCCAGCTGCCCCCCCCCTCCCAGCTGCCCCCCCCTCCCCCAGCTGCCCCCCCCTCCCCCAGCTGCCCCCTCCCCCAGCTGTGCCCCCCCCTCCCCCAGCTGTGCCCCCCCCTCCCCCAGCTATGCCCCCCCTCCCCCAGCTGTGCCCCCCCCCTCCCCCAGCTGTGCCCCCCCCTCCCCCAGCTGTGCCCCCCCTCCCCCAGCTGTGCCCCCCCCTCCCCCAGCTGCCCCCCCCCCTCCCCCGGCTGCCCCCCCCCCTCCCCCAGCTGCCCCCCCCTCCCCCAGCTGCCCCCCCTCCCCCAGCTGCCCCCCCCTCCCCCAGCTGCCCCCCCTCCCCCAGCTGTGCCCCCCCCTCCCCCAGCTGCCCCCCCCCCTCCCCCAGCTGCCCCCCCCTCCCCCAGCTGCCCCCCCCTCCCCCAGCTGCCCCCCCCTCCCCCAGCTGCCCCCCCCCTCCCCCAGCTGCCCCCCCGCTCCCCCAGCTGCCCCCCCCTCCCCCAGCTGCCCCCCCCTCCCCCAGCTGCCCCCCCCTCCCCCAGCTGTGCCCCCCCCTCCCCAGCTGTGCCCCCCCCCTCCCCCAGCTGCCCCCCCCTCCCCCAGCTGCCCGCCCCTCTCCCAGCTGCCCCCCCCTCCCCAGCTGCCCCCCCCTCCCCCAGCTGCCCCCCCCTCCCCCAGCTGTGCCCCCCCCCTCCCCCAGCTGTGCCCCCCCCCTCCCCCAGCTGCCCCCCCCCTCCCCCAGCTGCCCCCCCCCTCCCCCCAGCTGCCCCCCCCTCCCCCAGCTGCCCCCCCCCCTCCCCCAGCTGCCTCCCCCCTCCCCCAGCTGCCCCCCCCCTCCCCCAGCTGCCCCCCCCCTCCCCCAGCTGCCCCCCCCTCCCCCAGCTGCCCCCCCCTCCCCCAGCTGCCCCCCCCTCCCCCAGCTGCCCCCCCTCCCCCCGCTACTCCGCGCTCGAGCCGGGATATATATTTTTTAAATCCTTTATATTAAGTTCACTTGCTTGCTTACGACCGTGCAAATCTTTCGGTCGTTTTTTAACCCACTTCCCGTGATCCAATCGAGCTGACATTTTCCACACAGACTCGTTGTGCGTGACAATTAATGTTCGTGAAATTTTTTTTCCAAAATTTTACACTTTTTAGGACAACATTTTTATATTTAATTACCAATTGCTTAATGCTGCCATGCAATCATCTGACCCATAGGTGGCAGCCATCTCAAGCCAGAGGACGAGAGGACTCTAGCCGCCACGCATATAAAGGATTTATAGTGAAAAACTTTGTTTTTACGGGTTATACTTGTTTGTAATTCTCCGTGCTGGAATTTGGCTTCATTCCGCCGCGGAATCGAACTCGAGCCACGGGGCTCATCGTGCGCGCACAGTCGTCGGTGGCTGGGCTGTCATCAGCGACGCTGGCGACACTCGGTAGCACGGTTCAATCTGATACCAAAGATCCCCCGTGTAGCCTTCGCACAATGTTGGGGCAAGTGCCGTGATGCGAGCAGCAGCTGTGGGAGGATGGGGTTGGGTGGCCACAGCGCAACGCCCGATCACAGTGGTGATGTTCACATCGCCGCACCAGGTACTCATTTGAGGCCGAGTCGACCTAGGGGAGGCCCCAGGACTGGTTTGAAGGTAATCGTCACCTGACGTTGGCCGTGAGCGGGGCAGCGCGCTAACCGCTGCGCCACCGCTCCCCGCGGCCAGGGTGACGTCACCGTCCTTCGCGTGTGTCACCAGTGCTGTTTGCGAGCACCTATTAAGGCCAAATAATAAATTACTATTAAAAAAGCGTAACGCATTCGTAAGTAACAGTGTGTGTGTGTGCGTGGCCTGAAACGGAATAAATATGAAATAGGTGACGTTTCTGGCAATGGTCCTATTTCATGGCACAACAAAAGGCTCGATAGAGTGGACATTTAATAGGTGGTCGCGCCTGATGAGAATTACATTGTAAATGTTTTCGTTGATGTACAGATATTAATTTAAGGCCGACACGGCACACAAAGGGAGCGGGGGTGGCCAGCACCACGCCCGGCCGCCTTTGTCTCCCTCGTGCTGATGCTGTTTACACATCAGCACCGGGTACGCATTCATTTCGGGCTGAGTCGACCTAGACGAGGGCCCAGGTGCCGGTTAAGATACTCGTCGCCGATGTTGGCCGTGAGCCTGAATCGAACTCGGATCGTCGGAATGGAGGCCCAGTGCGCTCACCACTTGCGCCACCGCTCCCCGGGCCCACGGTGCCAGGCTAGGTTGCACTTTGAGGCCGTCACGGGAAGTGTGAAAGTGTCACCGCTGGCAAGGAGGTCACGGGACACGCCAAGGTGTCACGGGTCGACTGACTGAGATGACTTGCCAGTGACGCACACACACACGCACGGATACAGAGAGACACGGCTGCACGCAGACACAACAACAACAACCGCCATTCGCCACTAAGTGGCGGTGACGTCACCACGATGCTTGTGCCAGGCCATGTGCACCTTGAGGCTACCACGTGAAGTGTCGAACTCCCGCTGGCAGGAGGTCACGGGGCAGACCCAGCAGGTGCCACGGGTCGACTGACTGAGATGACCGAGACGACTGGCTGATGCACCAGCTGTGCCCCCTACTGTGCCAACTTGCTGTGCTTTAGCCACCCGGCGCTCCACAGAGACACACACACGGACACCCTCGCAGATGTACAGCGACACAAGAAGACACAGGGAGGAGATACCACGGCGTGTGCCACGCTGGGAGAAGCGTGGAAGGCTCGCTGCTGGCAGGAGGTCACGGGACACACCCGGGTGAACTAACTGAGATGCCGAGCAAATGTCACGCCTCTATCACCCCCCCCCCCCCCACCCCGTGGAGCCTTAACAGACTGTAGGGGCAAGTGCTGTTAGCGAGAAGCACCTATGAAGGCCGGCACGGCACACGAGGGGGTTGGGTGGCCAGCACCACGCCCGGCCGCCTTTGTTTCCCCAGTCGCGATGTTTACACACCACACCAGGTGCTCGTTTGAGGCTAAAACGACCTAGGGGGAGATCCCAGGACCGGCTCAGACAATCGTCACCTGGTGTTGGCCGTGAGCAGGGAATCGAACTCGTGTCGCCGGGTTCGTAGCGCAGCGTAGCGCTAACCGCTACACCACCGCTCCCCTCTCAAAACACACAACAACAACAACAACCGCCATTCGCCACTAAGTGGCGGTGACGTCACCACGACGCTTGTGCCAGGCTAGGTGCACCTTGAGGCCACGTGAAGATTCGAACACCCGCTGGTAGGAGGTCACGGGGCAGACCCAGGTGCCACAGGTCGACTGACTCAGATGACTGATGCACCACCTGTGCCCCCTACTGTGCCAACTTGCTGTGCTTTATCCATCCACAGACACAGCCAACCCTCTCCTGCACACATACACACACACAGCACGTATACAGTTACACACAGCACGTATACAGTTACACACAGAGAGAGAGAGAGGGGTGGGGATCGGCACTCATCTACAACAGAGCTACACGGAGAGCCCTCTGTCCCACACACACACAAATAACCCTCCCTCTCTCGCACAAAGACAAAGATCTCCCCCACATCCTCACCGACGCCGTACAGCCCTTCAACAGGCTGTCGGGCCCACAAGTGCTGTTAGCGAGCACCTATGAAGGTCCGGCAACGCAACGCGATGGGTCGGGGTTGTGTGTAGCAAGATAGCCAGCCACGTCGTTTACACACCTCAGCAGGCACTCGGCTATTGAGGCTAAGTCGACCTAGAGGAGGTTCGGAACCTCTTCAGAGATATATATCTTACGCACAGCTCTCCCTCCTCCTCCTCCCCCCTCTCTCCATCTCTCACACTCACACGTAGGCCTCGGCAAGGTAAGGTAAAAGTTAAAGGTAAAAACAACGAGCCTACCTTTACCCTACCTTTTACCTTACCACAATACAATCACTCTACCCTACCTTTTACTCTTTAGCAAGGTAAGTTAAAAGCTAAAAAGCAACGAGCTTACCTTTACCCTACCCTTTACCCTTACCCCTTGGCATGTCGACACTTTTACCTTACCCTTACCCGGTAAAAAGGGTAAATTACCTTACCTTGCCGAGGCTTACACACACACACACGCGCGCGCAGCCACAGGTTTGCTTCGCTTTACGCGGTAGTAGATGCGTTCCAAAAAAAACCAGGAGCGCACAAAGCGAAACCGACGTAGCGTGGAGCTCGCACCGCCGTCACGCGACCCGGCGCTTGACGGCCACCGCACGAGGTGACTGACGGTTGCCTCGCCGTTGGCCCCACGTGGAAACTTCTTTCGCGCCGTACGAAGCCGACCTTGACAATCGGAGGTGCGCTTAAACACGGCGCGCACGCAAAGATAACAAGGATAAAAATCCCCCCCGTATAGCCTCAACAGACTGTAGGGGCAAGTGCTGTTAGCGAGCACCTATAAAGGCCGGAACGGCACACGAGGGGGTGGGTGGCCAGCACCACGACCGACCGCCTTTGTCTCGCCAGTGGCGATGTTTGCACACCGCACCAGGTACTCATTTGAGGCTGAGTCGACCTAGGGGTGGCCCAGGACCGGTTCAGACAATTGTCACCGGTGTTGGCCGTGAGCGGGAATCGAACCCGGGTCGCCAGTTTCGTAGCGCAGCGTAGCGCTAACCACCACACTACCGCTCCCCCCGGTGCGCACACACGCAGACACACCACACAGATAAAGATAAAGATCCCCCGTATAGCCTTAATAGACTGTAGGGGCAAGTGCTGTTAGCGAGACACACACACACAGACACACACAGAAACACACACGCACGCACACACACGCACAGACACACGCACAGACACACAGACACACACAGACACACACGCACAGACACACGCACACACACACAGACACAAATACACACACAGACACACGCACAGACACACACGCACACACACACACAGACACAAACACACGTACACACACAGAGACACACACACACAGACACACACACAGAGACACACGCACACAGACACACACACAGAGGCACACGCAACGCTGTCCCACGTCCGTTCGCGTCGCCGAGTGGCTTGAACTCTGCCGAGTTGGAGCGAACTGCTGAGGTCGGTTCGGCCGGGCTCCTCCTTCAGGCGTCGCCCCGCACCCCGCTCCGTCGCCCGGCGAACTCCCCCTCACTCACTCACTCCCACAGCGCGACGCAGAGGTACCCCTACTCGCTGTCTCCTCTCACTCTCACACACACACTCTCACACACAGACATCTCTCACACACACATCACACACACAGACATCTCACACGTCTCTCTCACACACAGACATCTCTCACACAAACACTCTCACACACAGACATCTCACACACAGACATCTCACACACTCTCACACACACAGACATCACACACACACACTCTCTCTGTCTCACACACACTCTCTCTTTCACACACACACACACACACTCTCACACACACAGACACCTCACACACACACAGACATCTCTCACACACCCACGTCTCTGTCCCTCTCACACACACACTCTCTCTCACACACACAGACATCTCACACACACAGACACACTCTCACACACACACACTCTCTGTCTCACATACACACTCTCTCTCACACACACACACTCTCTGTCTCACACACACACAGACATCTCACACACAGACATCACACACACACACACACAGACATCTCACACAAACACCCACGTTTCTGTCCCTCTCACACATACACCCTCACAAACACACTCTCACACACAGACATCTTACACACACAGACATCTCACACAAACACCCACGTCTCTGTCCCTCTCACACACACACAGACATCTCTCACACACACACACGCCTCTCTCACACACACACACAACTCCCTCGTCCACACAAACTCAGCTCTCCATCGTACACACACTCAGCTCTCACTCACACACACTCACCTCGCCAGCGTACACACACACAGCTCCCACACACACAGCTCACACACACACACAGCTCTCACACACTCAGCTCGCCAGCGTACACACACACACAGCTCACACACACACACAGCTCACACACACACACTCTCTCACTCTCACACACTCAGCTCGCTTACACATTCAGCTCTCTCAAATACACACACACACAACACACACAGCGCTCTCACACATTCAGTACTCACACACAGCTCACACTCACACACAAACACACACTCACAGCTCTCTCACACACACACACAACTCTCACACACACACACAACTCTCACACACACACACAGCTCACACACGCACAGCTCACACTCACAGCGCTCCCTTGCAGCAGCAGCTCACAAACACACTCAGCTCTCACTCACACACAGCTCACACACTAACACACAACTCTCACACACAGCTTACACACACACAACTCTCTCACACACACACACAACTCACACACGCACAGCTCACACTCACAGCGCTCCCTTGCAGCAGCAGCTCACAAACACGCTCTCTCACACACACAGCTCACACACACACTCTCTCACACACACACAGGGCTCACACACACAACTCTTTCACTCTCACACAACTCTCTCACACACACTCACAGCGCTCTCTTGCAGCAGCAGCTCACACACACACTCAGCTCTCACTCACACACTCACACACACACTCAGCTCTCTCACACACAGCTCACACACACACGCACAGCTCACACTCACACACTCTCACACACACACACTCTCACACATACATAGGGCTCACACACACACAACACTCTCTCACACACACAGCTCACACAACACACACGCTCTCACTCTCACACACACACAGCTCACACACACACTCTCTCACTCTCTTACACACAACACTCTCTCACACACACAGCTCACACAACACACACTCTCTCACTCTCTCACACACACAGCTCACACACACACTCTCTCACTCTCTCACACACACAGCTCACACAACACACACTCTCTCACTCTCACACACACGTCTCCCCCCCCACTCTCTCCCACTCCCCCCGCTCCACTCCGCGTGTTGCCGCTCCAGAGTCGGGCCCATGGCCTCCAAGTTCGTGAACGGAGTCAGCGACTTCTCCAAATCCCGAGTGAGGCGGCCGCACTCACCACCCACCCACTCACCACTCACTCACTCACTCACCACTTACTCACTCACCACTCACTCACCACACACTCACCACACACTCACTACCCACTCACTCACTTACTCACCACTCACCACCCACTCACCACCCGCTCACTCACTACTCACCACCCACTCACCACTCACTACCCACCCACTCGCTCACCACCCACTCACCACTCACTCACCACCCACTACCCACTCACTACCCACCCACTCACCACCCACTCACTCACCACCCACTCACTCACCACCCACTCACCACTCACTCACCACCCACTACCCACTCACTACCCACCCACCCACTCACCACCCACTCACTACCCACCCACTCACTCACCACCCACTCACTCACCACTCACTACCCACTCACTCACTCACCACTCACTACCCACCCAATCACTAACCACTCACTCACCACTCACTACCCACTCACTCACTCACCACCCACTAACCACCCACTCACTCACCACCCACTCACTACCCACTCACTCACTACTCACTCACCACTCACCACCCACTCACCACCCACCCACTCACTCACCACCCACTCACTACCCACTCACTACCCACTGGTGTATTGGTGGTGTAGTAGTAGTAGTGGTGATGGTGTATTGGTGGTGTAGTAGTGGTGGTGATGGTGTATTGGTGGTGTAGTAGTAGTGGTGATGGTGTATTAGTGGTGGTGGTGTAATAGTAGTAGTGGTGGTGTATTGGTGGTGGTGTAGTAGTAGTGGTGATGGTGTATTGGTGGTGGTGTAGTAGTAGTGGTGGTGTATTGGTGGTGGTGTAGTAGTAGTGGTGATGGTGTATTGGTGCTGGTGTAGTAGTAGTGGTGATGGTGTAGTGGTGTAGTAGTAGTAGTGGTGATGGTGTATTGGCGGTGGTGGTGATGCTTGTGATGCATTGGTGTACTGTATTGGTGGTGGTGATGAGTGGGTTGGGAGCGGTAATGTAGCGGTTATCGCGCGGTGCTACACACACACACATATATGTGTGTGTGTTTGATGTGTGTGTGTGAGATGTCTGTGTGTGTGTGAGATGTGTGTGTGTGAGATGTGTGTGTGTGTGAGGTGTGTGTGTGAGATGTATGTCTGTGTGTGAGACGTGTGTGTGGGTTTGATGTGTGTGTGAGAGATTGTGTGTGTGTGTGTGAGATGTGTGTGTGTGTGAGATGTCTGTGTGTGTGAGATGTGTGTGTGAGATGTATGTCTGTGTGTGAGATGTGTGTGTGATGTCTGTGTGTGTGTGAGATGTCTGTGTGTGTGAGATGTGTGTGTGTGTGAGATGTGTTTGAGATGTGTGTGAGATGTGTGTGTGTGTGAGATGTGTGTGTGTGAGATGTGTGTGTGTGTGAGATGTCTGTGTGTGTGTGTGATGTCTGTGTGTGTGATGTCTGTGTGTGTGATGTGTGTGTGTGTGAGAGATTGTGTGTGTGTGTGTGAGATGTGTGTGTGTGTGTTAGATGTGTGTGTGTGAGATGTCTGTGTGTGTGTGATGTCTGTGTGTGTAATGTCTGTGTGTGTGTGTGATGTCTGTGTGTGTGTGTGATGTCTCTGTGTGTGTGAAATGTCTGTGTGTGAGATGTGTGTGTGTGAGATGTCTGTGTGTGTGTGTGATGTCTGTGTGTGTGGATGTATGTGTGAGATGTCTGTGTGTGTGTGAGATGTCTGTGTGTGTGTGTGATGTCTGTGTGTGTGTGAGATGTCTGTGTGTGTGTGATGTCTCTGTGTGTGTGTGTGAGATGTCTGTGTGTGTAATGTCTGTGTGTGTGTGAGATGTCTGTGTGTGTAATGTCTGTGTGCGTGTGAGATGTCTGTGTGTGTAATGTCTGTGTGTGTGTGAGCTGTGAGATGTCTGTGTGTGTGTGAGATGTCTGTGTGTGTAATGTCTGTGTGTGTGTGAGATGTCTGTGTGTGTGTGAGATGTCTGTGTGTGTAATGTCTGTGTGTGTGTGAGATGTCTGTGTATGTGTGTGATGTCTGTGTGTGTATGTGATGTCTGTGTGTGTGTGTGATGTCTGTGTGTGTGTGTGGGGAACGGTGGTGCAGCGGTTAGCGCTACGCTGAGCTACGAACCCGGAAACCCGGGTTCGAGTCCCGCTCACGGCCACAAACACCAGCGACGTTAATCTAAATCGGCTCTGGGCCTCCCCTAGGTCGACTCAGCCTTAAATGAGTACCTGGAGCGGTGTGTAAACATCGCCACTGGGGAGACAAAGGCGGTCGGGCGTGGTGTTGGCCACCCACCCCCTCGTGTGCCACAGTGCCTGCAGCCTTCACAGACGCTGCTGCTGCTGCTGCTCAACCTGCCCCAGCAGTCTGTTGTTACAGGCTGCACGTGGAATCTTTTGTCTTTGTGTGTCGTGGTGGTGGAAGTGATGTGTTGATGCACGTGGTGGTGGTGGGGTAGTGCGGTGGTGAATTGCTGCTGCTGGTGGTGCAATTGTGGGTGGATGCAGTGGTGCTCGTTGGAAAGCACTCGATCGCCTTTGTATCTCCTCGCGGAGTCGAACAGAAACCGCTCTCATGCAGATCGCAACATTTTAAACCCCGTGTCCCCTGCTGATGGACTTATGCGCATTGCAAAATCAAATGGTTTTGGGCGCGCGAAGCTTTCGATGTTTTGAATGCTCACCGGCGCTGTGGCGTCACAAGGCGTTTGCATTTCGCGGTGCAGTGGCAATATATGGGCAGAATTGTGGTGATGGTGAGTGCTGAGTAGTGGTGAGTATCTGGTGAGGGTCTATCAGGTGGTGAGTAGCCACATCCAGCGACTGGTGCACTTGCGACCCGCCGATGTCCTCAAACTTGATTTGGAGCTTTCGCGACTGCAGGGATCCATACTCTTTGGTTCTTTCGGTAAAGTCACGTGGGTAGAAAATACCCCACCTGGTTGATTAACGTTCTTCCAAAGATTGCTAAACTTGAGAGAGAGACAAAACACGGACACGGAGACACACACACAGACACACAAGCAGAGAGAGAGAGACACAGACACGGAGACACAAAAGCAGAGAGAGAGATAACATAGACACGGAGACACACAGACAGACACACAAACAGAGAGAGAGACTAAACACAGACACGGAGACACACACACAGACACACAACCAGAGAGAGACACACACAGAGACACAGAGAGAGACACACAACACAGACACACAGACAGACACACAAGCAGAGAGAAAGACAAAACACAGACACGGAGACACACACACAGACACACAAGCAGAGAGAGAAACACAAGCACTCATCATCAGGTGTGAAAACCACAGCAAGAACATTTTCTTGCTGTGGTTTTATTGTTTTATTTTTATTTATTTGTATTATATCTCTTAAACGTGCCAAATTATGATTATTGTTTTTTTACCCTTCTATCTGGAAACAAAACTGACACCTTTTTTCTTACAAGGAGTCATGTTTGAATAGGCCACAATACCTGCAGTCATAACGCAAACAAAAAACATAACTCTGATAATGTATGCACTGTCCTTGAAGTTGATTGAGGTTCCAATCGTGCCAATTTAGTTGAGTCGTTTGACCATTTTCTTGCTGTGGTTTTATTGTTTTATTTTTATTTATTTTATTATTTTCCTAAAACGTGCCAATTTAGTTGAGTCATTTGGCTGAGTGGCTGGGTGGGTGGGTGGCTGGGTGAGGTGGGTGGCTGGGTGAGGTGGGGTGGCTTGGTGGGTGGGTGGCTTGGTGGGTGGGTGGGTGGCTGGGTGGGGTGGTGGGTGGGGGGTGGGTGGCTGGGTGGGGTGGGTGGGTGGCTGGGTGGGGTGGGTGGGTGGCTGGGTGGGGTGGGTTGGGTGGGGTGGGTGGGTGGCTGGGTGGGGTGGGTGGGTGGCTGGGTGGGGTGGGTGGGTGGCTGGGTGGGGTGGGTGGGTGGCTGGGTGGGGTGGGTGGGTGGCTGGGTGGGGTGGGTGGGTGGCTGGGTGGGGTGGGTGGTGGCTGGGTGGGGTGGGTGGCTGGGTGGGTGGGTGGCTGGGTGGGTCGGTGGGGTGGCTGGTTGGGAACGCGTTGTAGCCGAGTGAGATTTCCCTCGTCGGTTATGATCTCATCAATCAGTGGCGCTGGCAACATTCACGACAAGAATTTTCCCAACTAACTGCGTGTCTCCGTGTCCCCGCGTCCGCGTGTCGCCCCGTGTCTCTGCGTGTCTGCTTGGCCCCACTGCACACGCGCCACCGAGGGAGTTGAGAGGGGGGCTGGAGGTGGTGGTTGACGTACCTGGCAATACGCGACCAAGTGGGGGGGCCGGGTGGGTGGGGGGGCCTGGCGGGCGGGTAGGGGGTGGGGGGGGGCTCGGGTGGGTGGGGTGGGGTCTATCCACTGCGGGATGCACGTCCGCCTGGAGGAGATGGAGCGATGAAATCAGCTCGCGTGTGGGGTTGCTGCTGGGTGGAGTGGATTCAATTTGGTGGATCGTGAGAGCTGGCTGTGGTGGTGTCGTAGGGGAGCGGTGGAGTAGTGGTTAGCACGTTGCCTACGCTCGTTCATGGGCTGTAGCAGCAACTCGTGTCTGTCTGCCCACGCTCGTTCATGGGCTGCAACAAGCACGCGTTACGAGCCGTCGCTGATGCTGTCGATGCCGAGTCGACCTAGTGGGCGGACGGTGCCAGATGCTGCTCACAATTTGCCGAAAGCAAACACGGTGCGTGTTTGGTGGAGGGGAGTTGTGGTGTGGGGTGGGTGAGTGTTGTGTTTGTGTGTGTGGGAGTGCCACGTTTGCTCGGTGGGGAGCGGCGGTGCAGCGGTTAGCGCTACGCTGCGCTGCGAACTCGGCCAACAGAGTTCGATTCCCGCTCACGGCCAACACCGGTGACGATTATCTGAACGGGTCCTGGGCCACCCCAAGGTCGACTCAGTCTCAAATGAGCACCCCGGTGCGGTGTGAAGACATCTCCACTAGGAAGACAAAGGCGGCCGGGCGTGGTGCTGGCCACTCTCGTGTGCTAAC